TGCTAACAACTACTCGAGCGCCTCCGAAGGAAACCTAACAACTCAAGAGCAATTGCTTCGCGAATGAATCTACTACCGGATCGAAATCGCGACCTACTGAGCAAATCCGGCGAGAAACTCAGCGGGCTGATGCATGGGTTAGGTCGACTTTGTCGAGTTCGACGAGTACGGTTACCGGCCTTTTTTTATGATTGAAATATTACTGGTGGCCCGGAGGCCTTTCCAGCTTCACCAGGACAGATGGGCGAGCAAAGGCTCAGCCAGGAGGGGTGGGATTTGCTAACAACTGCCCGAGCGCCTCCGAAGGAGACCTAACAACTCAAGAGCAATTGCTTCGCGAATGAATCTACTACCGGATCGGAATCGCGACCCACTGAGAAAATCCGGCGAGAAACTCAGCGGGCTGATGCATGGGTTAGGTTGCACGTCGACCTCTTTGTCGAGTTCGACGAGTACGGTTACCGGCCTGTCGTAACACGAAGCTAGCCGAGTTCCGACAATACCGCAGTCGTACTACAATCTTTCGGAAATCATGCTGCGTTTCGTTTAGCTACCAAACTAATGACCGTCTCCGATATAACATATAAATCAATAAATGAAACCGAAATAACCTTTCATACCCCACTGTTTATTTTGTGTGTTGAAATACAAAATAAGCAATTAGTTTGATAGACATTCGGTTTTTTGTTTTATATATATATATATATATATAGACACATACAATATACATATATATACATATACATAAAGGTACATAAAGCCACGCAGTGAATGAAGAAAAATCGTTTGAGCCAACTTATTAAAGTATTTTAAGGAAATAATAAACTGAATCAAAGGTCCTATATTTTCAATAAAATAGAGTACCTACTCTTAATTTCCACTTAATTAATTAACTTCAGGACTCTTGAACAGAAAATCTCTCTCAGTTTCTACATTTAATAATTGCTAATTTGTAATCTAATCATTAATTAATGTTATTGACGTTTAGCTAAGGATGCTCTTAAGATCTGTAATTCAAAAGCAATTTAAGTACAAATAATATCATTACACGGCGTTTTTCAATAAATATTTCCTGGCCGCATTCCCTAGCAGATTCAAACATTACAATTGTATTTAGAATAAGAAAACTTAATGGTAATGTTACGCGCTGGGGTTCGGGATAAATAAAATGTCACCAAAGTACAACTTAAAAACTGTATTTAACACTTAAAACACTTACACACTTCACAAACAATTTAAAACACTCAACAAACGCTTTAAAACTCTCAATTCGCTTGTTCCGCTTCGCTTCAGGTGATCCGTTCGCTGTTTCGCTTCGAGTAGTTCCGATGACTGACTGCGTGCCACCTCTACAATGCTTTTATAGCCGATACCTCATCCCTAGAATTATCGAGAATATTCCACACTTCTCTAGTAGTAGTTTCCGCTATCTGATAATAGATGGCGTTGTAATTCTCGAGCATTCTAGATCCTTCTATATTCGTTCGACTATTCGGCGATAGATGGCGTTACTCTTACCAGCGTAACAGTAATAAAATTCACATTAAGTTCTTAAGTTCCATCTATAAATGTTTGTTTGTATGTGTTAGAACCTTTAAACGTCATTTTCATGGAATTAGAAACGTCCAATTTAATGGAAAATTACAGTCGTAGCAAAGACTTATATAATAATAAGCCGACAATATAATAATTTTATAAATTACATCTAATATACAGAACAGTATTGACAGAATAAATAACGGGTCTAACTGTTTAAAATATTGAATTGTTATCGGTCCTTGATAAGTATGCCAAATTTCGAGTTAATGCGACGGTTTGTAGGGAGGTCAAAATCATGTTCGAATTTTCCGTTACGTACATACATAGTGACATACGTATGAAGCTAATAAAAGCGTGTTAAAAAATGAAATTAATTGTAAGTTCAGTTTGTTATTTAGACGTGCTGTCAACGTCAAACCTCCTTGGGTTATATCTCCTGTAGTATTTATTATATGTCCATCGCAACGTGTCGTTTTTATTTTTATTGCCTTTGTAGGCAGACGACCATACGACCCAAATGATGGTAAGTGATTACCGTCGCTCATGTAAGCCAGCAATACCAGGGGCACGGCCAAGGCACTGCCTACCAGCCATAGAGGGAGAGACTTACTTACTTTATTGGTGGTAGGGCATCTTGTGAGTTCGCACGGTTAGGTACCACCACCCTGCCTATTTCTGCCGTGAAGCAATAATGCGTTTCGGTTTGAAGGGTGGGCAGCCGTTGTAACTATACTGAGACCTTAGAACTTATATCTCAAGGTGGGTGGCACATTTATGTCATAGATGTCTATGGCTCCAGTAACCACTTAACACAAGTTTAGCTGTGAGCTCATCCACCCATCTAAGCAAAAAAAAAACTATTTCTGTTTCTTTTTTTAGTGTTTCCTTTACCATTTTTGGTTTTATTATTTGATTATGATTCTTACAACCTTAATTACATTTAAAACTAGATTTTCGAATACCATTATATCACATGGTACAAAAAATCACACGTGAATATCCCTAAAATTAAGCCTAAACTCAACAGACAATTCCGTAAGCCGTGAGCCCATAAATTTATCTACTACCTGGTCCTAGCGTGATTAAGTGCCGGAGTTATGACATTTATACGACAAACCCCTTAGCATTATTCTTTCTGCCTACAACATAATTTTATTTTTCGTATTCCGTCTACTTAATATAAAATATTATTCCCTATCCGACCTCAATTTGATTTAACTCGTTGGATTCAGTTATGTGACGAAAATTATTAATATCCGAAATTATAATTTGCGTAATTACTGGTGTTAGGACCTTTTGTGAATCCGCACGGGTAGGTACCATTTCTGACGAGAAGCAGTAATGCGTTTCGGTTTGAAAGGGTGGGGCAGCCGTTGTAACTATACTTGAGACCTTGGAACTTATATCTCAAGGTAGGTGGCGCATTTACGTTGTAGATGACTATGGACTCCAGTAACCACTTAACACCAGGTGGTCTGTGAGCTCGTCCACCCATCAAAGCAACAAAAAAAATATATGACTTTTAATTTTTTTCCTGCCTATCTTCGAGGGGTGGTCATATTAGATTCACCGAACGGCTAGGTGAGCTCATGGGGTCTGACCTGGTGAATTAGCTAACACTAGCCTAGCAAGAGCAGTCCTTTGCAGAATCTACCACCGGATCAGAAACGCGACCCACTGAGAAAAACCGGCGAGAAAGTCAGTGGGCTGTGTCTGAGGGATAATTGCTAGTTTTTTTCCTTATGAATAGAGAGTATTCGTTCTATACTCCTACGTATAGATTGTAATTACCGTCATATATAAAAATCGGCAATGGAAAGCCCACCTGAAGGTTCCTGTCAAGTCTTTTGAGTACATTCTTCTGCTAAGAATGATCCTGGCAAAACTATTAATATAATTATAATAGGTGACGTCATCTGTTCAAGAACGCCCATGGTTTGCGATCTTTTAGTTGTATATTGACGAGCGTGTTTCGGTTTTGCATGTAAAAAAACCCCAAGCCAATTGAAATATATTTAAATGTGTATTTCATTTTATTAATAAATTGTGTTTGTTACTGAAATTATTAAGGTCGGTACGCTCGGGTTATTTGATTATTCAGAGTAATCCACAGATGTGGAAGTAATAAAACGAAATTTAAAAAAAAGAAAGAGAAAACCCATCACAATGGAATAAAATTAGAATATTATCAATGTAGGCGAAGTCCATTAAAATACGAATCATTAGGCATAACTCGAAGACAACTGGTCAGATCTGGATAATATTAAACGGGATCACACGAGATGTACCAGTTTTCAAATAAACAAATATCAACAAAATCGAACATTCAAACAGTTCAAATCAAATAAAAAAAAATCATTCAACATAAATGAAAGTATATACTTGTTGAACGTCAAAAAGAACTACCGCCATTTCACTAAAACTAGCCTCCGTCCTGAGAAGAACTGGCAAGAAACTCAGCGGGCATGTCTTTTTTTAATATTCATTTTTACAATAAGTATTATAACGTAACAATTATTGCAATATTGAAATGCCCGGAGCGAACAACAGTTCAGAGGTAATTCACATGAAAACATACAGTCGAATTGATAATTCTGTTTTGGAGGCGATTAAAGAATGTCAAATTAGGTTAAACGCCGGGTTAACCCCAATTATAAAAGCAAATAAACGTTTGCATTAACCGACCATAATTGAATCGGGTCTTCTTTATGGCGCATAGCTAATATGCAAGACACCAGGTACATTCGCATTTAGATCGCATAGTGCGATCATAACGGCTGAAATTCTGACGCAGGTGTCTAATTAACATGTGTTTATTACACCTAACACGAGTTTACGATCGACGGATGAAAAAGAAATACCAAATAAAAATTAAACTTTAGTAATTACAAAATTTGGAGGGATTTTGAGTGCGCCAATGTTTACTACCGCTCTTCCTATTTCTACGCCAAGAGATCTATGCGTTCTCCTTAGAATAAGACAGAAGTTGATGTGGGAGAAAGTTTGTAAACAAAAAAACACGTGTGGCACTCGAGGACTGCCGCGATAAAGCTATTGCATAGCATTTTTTATCAACTTATGCTTATTATCAATAATTAAACAATAATAATTTAATATTAAAACAATAATAAAATAAGACCACGTTATATTTATAATAATTAACAAAAGCAAAACATTAACTATCCCCTTCCCACTCATAAGCTAGACCGCGCGAGTGAAAGATGGGCAGACTTTTCGTGATGCGCATGCAGTGCGACGTCACGCCGTGTGCTTGTTCACAAACACTGCACAAGCGCAACGTGTGAATGTGTTGAGCGCGAGCTACATGGTAGGCGGAGTGGGGGGTGTTAGGTTTTATTTTCGTTACGTAATTTCTTGATTCGGTCACCGCACTCGAAGCCCGTAATAAAAGCTATGCAATAACTTAAAAAAAACTAATAAGTATGTTTTTATTTGTAAAGCAGGTCCCGATGCTATGATGCTGGACGAGCTCGGGCCAACAGTGGCCTCCAACCAGTCAACCTCGCTAGCGGATCTCGATAGCTTCTACGTCACGTTCTACGATGTCGAAAACGAGAGATATGTTAACGATTCGCAAAACGCAACCGAGGTAAGGGTTCCACACAATATTACGTAATCATTGTTAATTAAAGTCGCCATGTCCTTGCAGTTAAGACGCCCGCTGTGCGCATATCAAACAATAGACCATCTCGATGTTCAAATACCGCAGGTAGGCGCCAATTTTGCGACGGTAACAATGAAGGAATAACATCGGTACTTGCGTAACTATTAGTGTCATATTGGGGCTATATGTCATTGGGGCTGCCTTAATTGCCACGTTTGGCATTGGGATTATCAATCGCAGTATACTGTTATAATACAAAGAACGCTACCCGAAGGATATAATGATAGTGAACAGGGCACATTGCTCGTAAAACAGATCGCCGGAAAAATGTAACATTTGTAAATGTTCCAAAAGATGGACCGTATCTCGGGAATCCACTGGACAAAGACGCAGAACTGGTTATTGTGGCGAGGCTTGAGGAAGATCTATGTCCAGCAGTGAGCATCTGTGAGCCGATACTAGTAGGTCAAACTACTAGGAGTTATGCGTATTTTAAGCCCGCATATGTATGTACTAATAGTCTGCTTATTTCTTCCTCACGTCTCCGGAATAAAATATCTTGTTGTCACATAATCGTAGAGATTAGTTATGTGATTACAATATATATATTTTTTAAATGTGAGATTATGTGTTTATTATTTACGGTAGGTTATAGTGCCGTAATATTGGGAATACAATTGAAAATACAGTACGATCACTATCGGTTTTCTTTTCTACCTATCCATACCAACTTGAGACAAAAAAAGCGGTCACTCGATCAATTATTATTAGTAACCGTAAAATATGTAGTAAGGCTTTTGAAAATTTCACTCCTGATTGGTTAAACTACGGGACGAACGTTTGTTTGGAAGACCATTGGAAGATAATGTTGTATTCTAAATCTTAACTCTGACCAATACACTTTGTATATTATTAGGGGTTGAAAAATTGTACCGAAAATTTGTCACTTTTAAAGGAAGAAGCATGAAAATCAATATCGAAACTATTTAAGTTATGTTTAGGAAAAACAACTGTGCTTATAAAATAAACTATAAATATACAAATTCCAGCATGTTATTCATCTCTGCCTAGCCAAAGGGAATTGCTTGTCCTTAAAATAAAATTTAAAACTAATGCTTTTATTAATCAGAAATTTATACACCTTGTGAAGCAAGCGGCAAATTTTAACTAAAAAAATAATAGTGAAAACAAGAAGATACCTAATTTAATGCGGTTAATATTAACTTCACTTCAAATAATAAAGAAACTTCTGCGTATTTTTTTTTTGTTGCTTAGATGTGTGGACGAGCTCACAGCCCACCTGGTGTTAAGTGGTTACTGAAGCCCATAGACATCTATCACGTAAATGTGCCACCCACCTTGAGATATAAGTTCTAAGGTCTCAGTATAGTTACAACGGCTGCCCCTTCAAACCGAAACGCACCGAAATAGGCAGGGTGGGGATACCTACCCGTGCGGAATCACAAGAGGTCCTACCACCAGATTATCAGATTATCTCAAAACACTCCATACGTTTTCTCATATATGAACGAACGTAAGTTGTATGATGTTTTAGATTTTAGTGAAGCTTCTCTCCGCTCCGGTGAGATAAGATCTAAATCAAAACAATTTATAGCCGTTTGTTAGCACTCGAAGTTTTAATCGATGTTCATACAACTCTCATACTCTGTTTCAAAGTACTTGTAAAGTTACTGAAACCACGTATTAAATTTTATCGTTTATATATAAAAACGGTTTTAATGATTAGAAACGAGAATATTTGCGAATATTGTAGAGATTTCAGCTTCATGTTAACAGGTAAGCTGCGAGTCAAAATCAAACTATCGCCTGTCCTATACAACGCACAATTACATAATAGTGTTTTTCTTATATATCTATATATTAATACGTGAAGCAAAAACTTTGTATCCCTTTTTACGAAAATTGCGCGGACGGAGAAGTATGAAATTTTGCACACTTATAGAGAATATAGAGAAGTGCACAATGCTAATATTTTTTTAAATAATGCATAAAAGATACATTAAATCAATAAAGAAAACATTACACACACTACATACCATGTATTTGACGCACACACGCACGCATACTATTTATTGTCAAACTTTTGTTCTTGGCGTCTGTTGTCAAATTGAGAATAGATTAAATATTGTTTGTCTTTGTTAATATTTTTTATGGTGGCGTAATTTGTAATTATAGAAGTATAAAATACAATCTTAATAGTGTACAAACTTACAATTCCAATTAATTATAGTCGAATTTCGACTACTGCGGGGCCTCTAGTTTTTACAAATATACCGGACGTCTTATCCTTTAGGCCACGACGATTTTTTATTATGGAACGGTTGTATTATAATACCATTCAAATCGGAAGGCATGACTGCTTTTCGGCTGAATAGGTGGTAGGATACTGGTGGTAGAACCTCTTGTGAGTTCCACGGGTACCGCCACCCTGCCTGTTTCTGCCGTGAAGCAGTAATGCGATTCGGTTTGAAAGGTGAGGCAGCCGTTGTAACTATACTTGAGACCTTAGAACTTATATCTCAAGGTGGGTGGCGCATTTACGTTGTAGATGTCTATGGGCTCCAGTAACCACTTAACACCAGGTGGGCTGTAAGCTCGTCCACTCATCTAAGCAATAAAAAAAAAAAAATTGATAGTCCCGTGTAACCTACCCCTATGGGCATGTACTACACTTTACCACCAGTTATTACACAAATTTATAATTGTGTTTTTTATTTTCATTACACAACGTTACAGCTTAGTGGAAAGGGTTCGTGTACAGGTGTTAAGTACTTATTTCTCAAGAAATTAAATTTGAAAGAAAATTTGTCATCTACCGCGAGTTGAATACCGCCATGACATAGTCACATTGATGCTAGATATGACATAGTCACATTGATGCTAGATATGACATAGTCACATTGATGCTAGATACTAGTACAGGGGGATCTTATCCTTTAGACAATAGCGAAACTATTTAATAATAATTAGCTATATAGCGAATACGCGAGGAATGCATTTTTTGTGACTTCAAGTTCACACTTATTTCACATTAATTTAAATTTTCCTACAGGTATTTTAAGAGTTGATATTAATAAAGCTATACCTATTGAACCAGCCATACCAATCCTTCATCCTGCCGTGGTGGAGGCAGATTCTGTGGACGGTGCTTTTCGCTGGGATGGTGGTCGTCGCCACCGTGGGAAACCTGGTTGTCATCTGGATAGTGCTCACCAACAAGCGGATGAGAAGCGTCACCAATTACTTCTTGGGTATGCCATTAAAAGTATTTTAAATTGGCGGAATCCATAATACGAACTCATGATATTTCAATAACGACGTGGAAATTGAACTCTTCTAAATGCTGAAGGTTTCATAGCTACGTTTAACATTCCAGCTGTTAATGTACTTATACTATATGTTTTTGTCTCCTTGCCTGTAACAGACGAAAGTAATAGATTGGCACTATGAAACAGCGAATGTCAAACTCATAAAACACTAGTTAATAAATTAAAAAAAAGAGGATTGAAAAATTGAAAAGATTAACTGAATTTGTACCGCCTTGTCTACCTATACGACGTAAGACGTAGGCAGTGCTACGATATAGAGAAAAGAGCTTTTTGGAGTTTACTCCTTTAGAATCGATTTACATATATAGGCCCGGGGTATGAAAATTATGGGGACCAAAATCGTACTAGCATGTCACACGAAATGCGTTATGCGCCTGATTGGCTCCTGATTGCGTGATGCGTGCGCGCGCCAATCAAAATTGTACTAGCATGTCACACGAAATGCGTTATGCGCCTGATTGGCTCCTGATTGCGTGATGCGTGCGCGCGCCAATCAGGAGCCAACGCGCGGCCGCGTTATTGCAGGTGACGCCGGGCTGCTGCGCCGGCAGTCCGCCACAAAGCCTCGTACTGATCGCGCGTTTCTCTCATTATTGTATTTTCATATATTTGTTAGTCGTTNAAGCCTCGTACTGATCGCGCGTTTCTCTCATTATTGTATTTTCATATATTTGTTAGTCGTTTGTTTTGTGTCTCGTTAATTTGTTAATAATCTGTAGTGTATCGTGTTGTCGTAATATAGAACTATTTCTCGTATTGTTTCGTTTAATTTTTTATATCCAGTAAACTCCAGTCGTGCGTCGGAGCGGACACACACACATTTTTTATTGCATTAGCAATAAGGGTTTCGAAGCATACAGATGAGAAGACGGTCAGGACACCGAAGCTCTCCTGCGAAATCAAACCATTGTCCAGCGCTAACTAATCTTCAAATCCTTCATTGAAAAAATGTATAACCTATTTCCCTGAAAGGATATCGAGTAAAATTCATTTCCGCATAACTGTAACACCTTTTTACAGAACAACCTTTTTTTTCTATATAGTGAATCTATCGGTGGCCGATGCAATGGTGTCTACACTTAACGTCACCTTCAACTTCACGTACATGCTGAACTCCAACTGGCCCTTCGGACATTTCTACTGCAAATTCTGTCAGTTTATAGCGGTACTAAGCATCTCTGCGTCTGTCTTCACGCTCCTTGCGATCAGCGTTGATCGGTAAGATATGTTGATATTGATATCTCTTTTAGTATTCGAATTCGTATTTAATCATGTAATGTATGTATGTATGTATGAAGTCGTTGTGGCCTAACGGATAAGACGTCCGGTGCATTCGTGTTGAAGCGATGCGCCGGTGTTCGAATCCCGCAGGCGGGTACCAATTTTTCTAATGAAATACGTACTCAACAAATGTTCACGATTGACTTCCACGGTGAAGGAATAACATCGTGTAAAAAAATCAAACCCGCAAAATTATAATTTGCGTAATCACTGGTGGTAGGACCTCTTGGGAGTCCGCACGGGTAGGTACCACCACCCCGCCTATTTCCGCCGTGAAGCAGTAATGCATTTCGGTTCGAAGGGTGCGGTAGCCGTTGTAACTATACCTGAGATCTTAGAACTTATATCTCGAGGTGGGTGGCGCATTTACGTTGTAGATGTCTATGGGCTCCAGTAACCACTTAACACCAGGTGAGCTGTGAGTTCGTCCATCCATCTAAGCAATAAAAAAAAAAAAAAAAAAAAAAAAATTGAAATTACTTTAATGGTTTAATCTCGCATTTTATATTTTAATTATGTTTTATGAAGTATCCGAGATTAAGCCGTACTTCTTCTTCTTCTTGTCAGCCCATGGACGTCCACTGCTTACATAAGCCGTACAAGTAATCTTAATTTTTACGACTCGTGAAAACCGGAGAAATAATTAAAATTGAAAGAAAATTTAATTTGGTCACTATATAAATCGTTGTTCGTTTTAAGAGGAAATATCCATAAATACAATTATTAAAGTCCTCGTGTATGATATTATTACGATTCTTCCCTTATCAAAGACCCTGGACCATACGAATATGTTTTATACTATAGTATGTTTTATACTATAGTTTTATACTGTAGTCGTCGTGGCCTAAATGTTGTCGTCGTGGCCTAAAGGATAAGACGTCCGGTGCATTCGTGTGTAGCGATGCACCGGTGTTCGAATCCCGCAGGCGGGTCCCAATTTTTCTAATGAAATATGTACTCAACAAATGTTCACGATTGACTTCCACGGTGAAGGAATAACATCGTGTAATAAAAATCAAACCCGCAAAATTATAATTTGCGTAATCACTGGTAGTAGGACCTCTTGGGAGTCCGCACGGGTAGGTACCACCACCCCGCCTATTTTCGCCGTGAATGAAGCCGTAATGCGTTTCGGTTCGAAGGGTGGGGTAGCCGTTGTAACTATACTGAGACCTTAGAACTTATATCTCAAGGTGGGTGGCGCGTTTACGTTGTAGATGTCTATGGGCTCCAGTAACCACTTAACACCAGGTGGGCTGTGAGCTAGTCCACCCATCTAAGCTATAAAAAAAAAAAAAAGTAACATCATCATTCTTCTGCCCTTCTCCCAGTCACCTGGGTGGGGTCAGCACAACATGTTTTCTCCTTCCATACTTCTCTATCATATAACATTTCTTCGCTCACTCCCCTCTTACACATATCGTCTTTCACGCAATCCATCCATTTCTTCTTAGGTCTACCTCTTTCCCTAATTCCTTCCACATTCATAGTTAACACTCTATTACCAACCTCATTTTCATTCCGTCTCATCACATGTCACATAACATTATACTATAGTAACATTAAGATCTATTTTTTGTTTGCTTTAGGTTTTTTTACTCCTTTACTCCTGAAGACTTATTTTAATTTTAATTTACGAAAAATATAATACGAAAAATTTATAGGTTACAAAATGGTTATATTTTTCAGTCAATTTCAACGACATTTTTCATAAATCACAGAATAACAAAACTAGCCTATGGCTTTTTTGTAATATTTGTTTAGGAAAGCAAACCTTATAGTCATTTTGGACAGACAAGATTATTTTCAATTATCGGAGAAGCTTAAATACGGACCCTCGCTTTAGAAACTCGTTAATGTTGTTAATCTCTCAATCGGTTGACGAGTTTACTTAAAAGTTTCACAAAACAGATGTCCGAAGCTTTTCCTTGTTGGAGAAGTTTGACGTCGACTGCTAATCAGGTAAATTTACCTCAACATAGTACAAAAGCATAATGGGTTTTGAAAAACATTTTTTTATTTTTGATTGCTTAGGCGGGTGGACGAGCTCATGGCCTACCTGATGTTAAGTGGTTAACGGAGCACATAGATATCACAACGTAAATGCCGCCACCTACCTTGGCATAATAGTTCTAAGGTCTCAGTTTTTACAGTACAACATCTGCCCCACCCTTCGAACCGAAACGCATTACTGCTTCACGGCAGATATAGGCAGGGTGGTGGTACCTACGTGTGCGGGCTCATAAGACGTCCTGCCACCAGTAAAACATGATATAGTATTGTAATAATCCAAGCTTAATCAACAACTAATTTAGGCCATAGGTTTACAAGAATTAGTAAGCTATGCAGGTCGAATATGGTAATATCTAATGTGTCATTAGTTTATTTATTTCATGCATAGAACGCGCGAAAAAAAATATTTATCACAAATTATCGTTCATCAAATTACCTCACTAAAATACGCAACTAATTCAACATATGAATAATAATATGGCTCGAAGCGAAGAACAAATCAATGCTACTTTCCAAATTTGAATATTTAAAATAGACCTATTTAACCTACTCTATCTTAAGAAGGAGCCTGGAGATCAGTAATACAAGTCTTTGAGCCTAGTACCTACAGACTTTAGCTCTTTCCTCCTCCTCCGTGCGTCGTATTCCTCAGTGCTGAGAGTCGTGAACTTTACGGAGCATTTTTGTTAGGACTATGTTCCTCCATTCACTTCTGTCCTCCGCGCAGTGGATAGCAACATTAATGCTGGATTCCAAAGTCGTCTTAATCTGATCTTAGCTCTTTCAAAGGCTTACAAAATAAATTAAAAGATTAATTTCTATTTGTATTTGTACTATACCTTTAAGAGAGAAATAACATAAATTAGTATTATTATTATTAAATTATTATATTATTTTCCGATAGGCTAACTGGGGCATATCACATTTTTCTTACGTAAACAAAGACCTCGGAAGGAAGATTGATAACTCATAAATTATAATACATAAACTGGGTTAACGTAGAACTTCGATACGGCATATCCATTACACAGCTTCCACGAGATTCCGATAGAGGCACCCGTCACGCGCGGACGTGCTCATCGACCACTCGATCGCCCGGCCTTTGTTCGCCCGGCTTTTGTTAGCCCGGCCATTGTTCGCGCGGCCTGTGTTCGTGGTACATCTGCCGACCAAGTGTTTTTCCTGGAAGTTTTTATTTGTTTGGTTTCCTTTTGTTATTTCTGTGTTCGTGGTACATCTGCCGACAAACTGTCTTCCTGGAAGTGTTTAATTGTTTTGTTTCTTTTTATTATTTCCGTTTTGTTGTGTTTTTTCTTTGTCCTGTAGTAATCGTGCCGCATCGCCACCTGTGTTCAATAGAACCGCTCAGGTCCGAGAAGTTGGGGCCTCGCCGCAAGGCGAGTGCTTTCTAAGACCCAGGGTAGCCCCACCTGGGCACGTAGACATCATGGACGCTGTATTTGCGGAATTTCTCCGGCTTCGCTACCCAAAGCTCACTTCCGAGTTTCAGGCCTTCAAGGCCGATCACAC